TTAAATTTAATTATAATTAAAATTTTATCAATTATGTTCAGATTCAATTTCTCCTTTTTAATTTACGAGGCATTTCTCTGGCCTAGTATATGATCAATTTATACACACACACACACACACACACACACACAGATACACACATCCGGTGAATAAATAGTGAAAACAATCCAAATATGCAACAATAAGGGGGCAGTTAAATAAACTGTGGTACATCCATGTGAAAAAATATTGTAAACATCCATGTGAAAAAATATTGTAAGTCATTAGAAATAATGTTTTTGAAGACCTTTTAAGTATATAGGAAAATGTTCATGACATAAAAAAGCTACAAAACTATACATGCAGTATGATGCTGCTTTTGTTAAAACTATTGAAAGAAAAAAGCCAAAATGTGAAAAGGGGTGTTACCTGCTTTCTATAATCAGCTAGTCTCAAAATTATAATCAGGAAAAAATGCTATTTTAAAAAACTGAATTTCACTGACATATCTTTTGCCATTTATTTTTTTCTTAAAAAGAATCTTAAAAATTTAAGAGAAAAGGCAGCAAAGAAAAGCCATTGAAACTGAACTAGGAGTCAAAGAGGACTGCTAAGTTCTGGTTCTCTTACGTATTTGCTATGCAGACTCTAAGCCTCATTATATCCACTCATATAGGCGGTGGGCTTCAAGAGTTAAAACTCATAAACCCTCAGCTACAAATAAGGTGACGAAATTTTGTTAAAATGTAGCAGTCAGGCCCTAGCCAGTTTGGCTCAGTGGATAGAGCGTCGGCCTGCGAACTGAAAGGTCCCAGGTTCGATTCCGGTCAGGGGCACATGCCTGGGTTGTGGGCTCGATCCCTAGTGGGGGACTTGCAGGAGGCAGCCAATCCATAATTCTCTCTCATCATGGATACTTCTATTACTCTCTCCCTCTTCCTTCCTCTCTGAAATCAAAAAAGATCTACTAAAAAAAAAAAACACAATAAAACACACGAATGTATTATTAAAAAATAAAATAACGTGTAGCAGTCAGAAATATATAAAGTGTGATTCATTTTTTTTATTGGTGAAATCTAAAAGGACTAGGTGGGTTATATAAAGGCTATAAAAGGCTACGACTATACCCAGATAGTCCAATACAGAGAGAAGCCCCCTGTCCCTCTCTCTGTGGCTGACCTGTAAGTCACACAGCCAACAGATGCCCTGGCCGCTGGAACATACTAGAGAACGGTTACCGGTTCCCTAACCAGGAGAGACAGCCCAGCCCTCACAGAAGGAGGTAATGCCCACTTCCTCCTCTCTGCCTTCGATGTCCATAAGCCAGGCCCTGCCTAGAGATATGAGGGCTATGACCCGAGCCATCCTTGGCTAATGGCCTGCCCCTTGCTGAGGATTATCAGAAGGCAGCCTGAAAAGCTGGATTTGATTTACTCATCTGATTAAGTCTGTGTTCACTGATAAGGCCAATGGGTTACAGGAAAAGAATGTGCTTTTGATCCCCCATGAGGATGGGAAATTGGTCTTTAACCAATATTAAAATAGTACTATGCTTAGCAACTAATGTTGTAGTACAGACCAAATAAAATAGCAGATGTGAAAGCATTTTTGTAAGCTCCCAAGTGACCCAACATGTAAAAGGAAGAGGACTGTGTTTACATAAATAATTATAAGCAACTTAACTTGAATCAAGCTCTCTGCTTCTGTACCATGTTCATGGATTAGAACAGCGGTAGCCAACCGGTGGTCCTCACCACTGGTGGTCCGTGAGGTCCGAAAGGTTGGCAACCGCTGGATCAGAAGACTCAGTATTATTAAGATATCAATTCTATACAATCTGTTCTACAGATTCAATGTGACCCATTTAAAATCCTGGCAGACTCTTTTGTAGAAATTAATAAGCTAATTCTAAAATTTATGGACAAGCAAAGAAACTAAAACAAGCAGGACAACTCTGAAAAAGAACCAAGTTGGAGTATTCCCAGTACTGATGCCCAGCCTTCCTATAAAGTTACAGCAATCGAAATAGCATGATGTTAGCAAATGACAGACACAGAGACCAATGGAACAGGAGACACAGTCAGGAAGTAGACCCACACTTACATGGGCAAGTGATTTTCAACAAAACTGTCAAGGCCATTCAATAAGGAAAGAAAAGCCTTCTCAACAAATGGCGCTGGAACAAGTCAACACCCTATGCAAAAAGAGCGATCCTCAACCCATTACTTTGTCCTACATTTTAAGAAATTGACTTGAGCCCTGACCCGTTTGGCTCAGTGGATATAGAGCATCAGCCTGCGGACTGTTCGATTCCAGTCAAGGGCATGTATCTTGGTTGCGGGCACATCCCCAGTAGGGGGTGTGCAGGAGGCAGCCGATCGATGTTTCTCTCTCATCGATGTTTCTAACTCTCTATCCCTCACCCTTCCTCTCTGTAAAAAAAAAATCAATAAAATATATTTTTAAAAATTTGACTTGAGATTTAAGTTTAAAACCTAAAACTACAAAACTTTTAGGAGAACACATAGGAAAAACAATTTTTTGACCCCGAGTTAAGCAAGGAATTCTTAGAAAAGACGCAAAAGGCACAAGTCCTAGAAGAACACAATGATAAATTAGACTTCATCAAAATTAAAACCATCTGCTCTGTAAGACTTTTGTTAAGAACATGAAAAGACAAGCCACAGACTGGTAGAAAATATTTGCTAAGTACATATCAGATAGAGAAATGGCATCCAAAGTATATAAAGAATTCTCATGAGAAAATGAACAACTCAATTTAAAAACAGGACAAAAGATTTGAAGAGACACTTCACCAAAGAAGATGCATGAATGACAAAGAAGGACATAAAAAGGTGCTCAACGCTATTAATCATTAAGAAAATGCAAATTGCCCAGCCGGGTGTAGCTCAGCGGTTGAGCACCCAGGAACCAAGAGGTCGAGGGTTCAATTCCTGGTCAGGGCGTATGCCCAGGTTGTGGGCTCGATCCCCAGTAGGGGGCATGCAGGAGGCAGCCAATCAATGATTCTCTCTCATCATTGATGTTTCTGTCTCTCTTTCCCTCTCCCTTCCTCTCTGACATCAATAAAAATATATTTTAAAAAAAAAGAAAATGCAAATTAAAACCACAATGCATTAGAATGACCAACATTTTTAAAAATGAAATACCACCATCTCATACCCACTAGGATGACGACTATTAAAAAAAAAAAAAAAATTCCACCCTGGCCCGTTTGGCTCAGTGGATAGAGCATTGGCCTACGAACTGAAAGTTCTCAGGTTTGACTCCGGTCAAAGGCACACGCCGGGGTTGTGGGCTTGATCCTCAGTGGGGGACTTGCAGGAGGCAGCCGACCCATGATTTTCTCTCATCATGGGTGTTTCTATCTCTCTCTCCCTCTTTCTTCCTCTCTGAAATCAATAAAAAAATATATATTTTAAAAATCCCATAAAATAACGAGTGTTGGGGAGGATGGGGAAAAATTGGAACTCTTGCACACTGTTGGTGAAACTGTAAAATGGTATGGCAACTGTGGAAAACAGTGTGGGAGTTCCTCAAAAAATTAAAAATAGAATTACCATATAATCTAGAGCAGGGGTCCTCAAACTACGGCCCGCGGGCCACATGCAAATACAAATATTGTATTTGCTCTCGTTTTTTTTACTTCAAAATAAGATATGTGCGGTGTGCATAGGAATTTGTTCATAGTTTTTTTTTAAACTATAGTCCAGCCCTCCAACGGTCTGAGGGACAGTGAACTGGCCCCCTGTTTAAAAAGTTTGAGGACCCCTGATCTAGAGCAAGCCCACTTCTGGGTATCCACACAAAAGAATTGAAATCATGTTCTGGGAGAGATATTTGCACTCCCATGTACACAGCAGCATTATTCACAATAGCCGAGCGGTGGAAGCGACCCAAATGTCCATCGGCGGATGAATGGATACACAAAATGTGGTTTATACATACACTGGAGTATTATTCAGCCTTAAAAAGGAAGGGAATCCTGTCACATGCTACAGTATGGATAAGCCTTGAGGACATTATGCTAAGTGAAACAGCCAGTCAGAGAAAGGTAAGTACGGCATGATTTCACTTCCATGAGGTGCCCAGAGTAGTCAAATTCACAAAGACAGAAAAACAGAATGGTGGTTGCCAGAGGCTTGGAATGGGAGTGGGGACTTGTTGTTAAATGGATACAGAGCTTCAGTTCCGTGGCATAAAAAAGTTCTGGAGGTTGGTGTGCAACAATGTGAATATACGTTGTTGTTATTTTTAATTAATTTGAGAGAGAAACATTGATTTCTTGTTCCACTTATTTATGCATTCATTGGTTGATTCTTGTATGTGCCCTGACCAGGATCAAACCCACATGACGATGCTCTAACCATCCGAGCTACTGAGCCAGGATTTGTGCTGTACCTTGATTGTGGGGCTGATTATTCCACACAAAACTGTGGACCTGCCCTAGCTGGTTTGGCTCAGTGGATAGAGCGTCGGCCTGCGGACTGAAGGGTCCCGAGTTCGATTCCGGTCAAGGGCATGTACCTGGGTTGCGGGCACATCCCCAGTGGGGGGCGTGCAGGAGGCGGTTGAATCGATGTTTCTCTCTCATCGATGTTTCTAACT